CCCCAGAGCCTCCCCTACAGAAAAGCACGTTGGACAGTGGCTCAAGATAATGAAAAATATTCTTAAGCCCACTCCCTCCTTCTTCCCAGGTCACTTCACCCAGAGTGGAGCTCATGTTGAAGGATGAGAAGAATTTCCTGAGCCATATTGTGCAAACCTACTCTCTTGATACTGGAGAAGCCCATAACTTTATATAAAGAATATTTTGAAGTGCTTCAGTGCATTAACAGAGGGATTCAATCAAGACCACATGAGGTACTAATACCACTCTATAAAGTCTTAATAAGACCATCCCTAGAATACTACCTCCAGTTTTGGTCACTACACTGTAAAAAAGATGTTGAGACTTTTTTAGAAAGAGTGCACAGAAGAGCAACCAAGATGATTAAGGGACTGGAGGCTAAAACATAGGAAGAATGCTTGCAGGAACTGGGCCTGGCTAGTCTAGTGAAGAGAAGGACCAGGGGAGACAGGATTGCAGTCCTCCAATATTTGAGGGGCTGCCACAGAGAGGAGGAAGGGGTCAAGCTATTTTCCAAAGCATCTGAAGGCCAGACAAGGAATAATGGATGGAAACTGATCAAGGAGAGATTCAATCTAGAAAATGCCCCAAATTTGGGTTTACACTTTTCGGTTCCCAGGAAACAACAGTCGCAATCAGAATTAAAGTTTCCTTTGAAAGTCCTGGTGATTTTATAGGCTTGCCAGCAAGGTTTTCTTTAGAACAATACTAAACTGGTTGGCCATTGCTTTTTTCCTGATTTTTTTTTAAAAATTGTCTAGTCAAGCCCTGGGATGTTTTGGTGATCGCCCATTCCATCCCAACTGGGTTTAACTCTATATAGGTTTTTGATTTGATTTGTTTTCTTAGATAGTACGAGCTAGATCAGGGGTATCATGCTTGATTTCATTGAGGGTCACATCAGGGTTGTGTTTGACCTTGGAGGGATGGGGGAGGGGCTGTGACCAGGATGGGCATGCCCAACTCGACATCACTCGTGTCGGGAGCACCTGTGGTGGCCCCAGCACTCAGCTAGCGAAAACGGGCTCCCGAGCTCGGTTTCCAGTTGCAATGGCTTCTTGTGGTTAGCCGGCAGCAGGTGCAGACAGCTGAGGAGAGCGAGGACTCAGATGAGGGGCCAGGACCATTAGGGAGTGGACTGCTGCCTTCAGAGATTGTGGGGGCTGGCAGCAGCGATGAGGAAGTTCCCGAGGAGCCTGTGCCCAGTGCGCATGTGCACAGGGCTGCTCGCAGGAAAGAGCAGCTGCAACAGCACGGGTGACTCGGGAGTAAGGCAGCAAGGTAATGGCCCCTCCTTCCAGAAGATAAAAGCTAGCTGTGAATTGGACGTTCTTTGCAGGAAGCAAAGACGTTTTGAAACTCCAGCCTCATGGACATTGCAGTATCTTAGTTGGTATTTGAAGACTCTTGTGTTGTAAAATATTTCTAGGTAACCTTATCTGTTATTCTTGGCAGCCTCGCACAGTTTTGGCAAGGCTCGTGCTTATCAAAGTTAATTAGTTTGCAGCAGCCTTTTAACCGGGGATTCGTAAGAATCATTAAAAGGTTTGTTTTCCCTTTGTTTCGTGTTTGTTTTATTGGAAAAGAAGAAGGTTTGTGTCAAAACAGCCTCCTGCAACCATCTGCCAGCAAAAACGGAGCTCGGGAAGGCTGCATGCACCGTCCCAAGCTCCGTTTTTGCTGGCAGAGGCACCACAGGCCGGTCCTTCATTGTTTCCAGGGTGGCCCCACAGGGCAGATCTAAGCACCTCCGGGCCTTGAATTTGACATCCCTGAGGTAGATGGACTCCACTCAAAACTGAGTGTTCAGTTCCACAGAATGCTTATGTTCCATCTTTGTTCAACCTTGCAAACTCTTCACAGACCTGGTCAAGGCTGTTTTTGCACAACTTAAAATATCTTTACAGAAACAGACTCCATTGTGAGCTTCTTATAATTCTAGGCACTTGGATGACAAAAAAAAAAAAAAAGGAAATACAATAGGAGCAACAGAACTAGGTCAAAGCTTCTCTTATTGTCATCTGCAACAGCGACGGTAGCCAGGAAAGTTTCATGAAACTGCTTACGGACACACAACAACCCAGGCAGCAGCATCCATCTCTGTCTCTGAGAAAGGACCTTGATAACAAAATCTAAAAATATCAGTTGATACGGTTTTCTTAATTATGAAATGTCTTCAAAATAAAGAAAATGATTGCTCTGAATGTATTTATTTCGGAACACAATCATTACAGTGTTGTAATGGGATATGAGACAATCGTCTCTTTTTAAATCTGAGGAGAAGGACTGAGTGGTCACAAATGGCAGGTAGATACAGATACAGATATAGATTAAGAGTTGGAAGGGACCTTGTAGGTCCTCTAGTCCAACCCCCTGCCCAAGCAGACCCTACACCATTTTTGACAGATGGCAGTCCAATCTCTTCTTGAAAGCCTCCAGTGATGAAGCTCCCACAACTTCTGAAGGCAACTTCTGTTCCATTGGTTGATTGTTCTCAGAAAATTTCCTCTTATTTCCAGGTTGAATCTCTCCTTGATCAGTTTCCATCCATTATTCCTTGTCTGGCCTACAGGTGCCTTGCAAAATAGCTTGACCCCCTCCTCTCTGAGGCAGCCCCTCAAGTATTAGAAGACCGCTATCATGTCTCCCCTGGTCCTCCTCTTTACTAGACTAGCCAAGCCCAGTTCCTGCAACCGTTCGTTGTATGTTTTAGCCTCCAGTACCCTCATCATCCTGGTTGCTCTTCTCTGCACTTTTTCTAGAGTCTCGACATCTTTTTTACAGTGTGGTGACTAAAACTGGATGCAGTATTCTAGGTTGGTCTTACTAAGCCTTTATAGAGTAGGTATTTGTACCTCACTTAATCTTGATTATATCCCTCTGTTAATGCATTTTAGGATTGCATTGGCTTTTTTGACTGTCGATGCACACTCCTGGCTCATATTTAATTGGTTGTCCGCTAAGACTCCAGGATCCCTCTCACAGTTACTGCTAAGTGATGGATAGGTGATGGATGGAGGAGTAAATTCCAACCTCAACTTTTTTGCAGGTGCATTGACATCATACAAATGAGGCATTGTCTTGCATTGTGATGCTCTCTTCCTTTTTTACTAACCCCCACGCACCCACTGGTAAATACTGCTGTAGAGTATATTCCCTTTTCTTAAGTTAAATAGAAAAGACAACGACAAGACAAAGAAAAACCACACCAAACAATGTAAAAAAAGAAAAAACAACAACAACTAAAACTCAGAAGCCTATCTATGCCTCTAATGTTGCGCGGCAAACATTTCAATGAAAAGAAGAATAAATGTTTTGGTCCGTACTGATCCAACTGCTTCATGCTTTCTTGCAAAGTTGTTTCATTCTAGAGTGGCTCTTTTCATTTCAACAGCCACGACCTGAGACAGACAAATTATTTGGAAGCCTTCCAAGCAAATTTAATTAATTTGATCAGGGAGTAAATCATGGTTTTCTGTTTAAACTGCAGGGACGTTTAAGTCACGCCTGAGAAAAATGAGATCATTATTAAAACTGAGTTCACCGTATTTCAATGCGCATATCCTTTAGCTAGACCTTGAAGTTAGAAGTGCAACCAAACAGGAACTCCACCCCAGCCGTATGAATTGTAGAGCTGAGTTGCTAGCTTCTGACCATCTGCCCATTCTTCCTGTTATGATAGCACTCATGAATTTCAGTGTGATATTTCATGCTTCACAATTTAACTCTTTCCATGGACAAATTGGCATTTTTCCTTGGATGCTATTATTGCACATCCTCCTGAATTTGTTTGCTGACTTAAATTAGCCAACAGGTTAGGTAGACAAATTAGTCTATTAAGTCTAATCCATAACAGCTTCCCATGCCTTCAGATACAATTTGACCATAATCCATTGCTGCAATTAAAAAAAAAAAAAGAAATATCTTTTTCCTAGGTTTGTAAGCCACTTTCCCAAACCTAGGTATTTTGTATACAATTTTGTAATTCTGAAAGGCAGCATTCATTAAAAGCGTGCAGTCCCAAGAGATATAAGTATGGGAATAGGTGTATGTTTTGTATATATATATGCCTGTCTGTCTGTTTTCATGTGTGTTTGTGTATATATATATATATATATAAAATGTGTGTGTGTATAATTAATTTTTAAATGCATTAAAAGTAACAAAAGAAAAAGAAAATGAGAGAAGAGAAAAAGAAAAAACAAGCGTGCAGAAATGAAAGATTAAAAAAGAAATAGAAGTTTCCAATTTCCTTTGCATCAAATGCAAGCATGTTTGTAAAATTGTTATTCTATGATTACAGAAAAGCTTCCTTCTTTTCTATCATCTATATATTTTTTTTAATCACGGGAACCACAAATCATAAGTGCATTGTTTTCTGTTTCAGGCAAAAGTTTCTAAGAGATTTCTAGTCAGCCGTAGATGTACATACGGGTCTTTTCTCTAATCAAAGAAGTTAATTTAGCCATCACTTCAAGTTCCATCATCTTCATTTGCCATTTCCCCATGCTGGCCTGTATTAAATCTTTCCACTTTTGAGCATATAATAATCTCACTGCAGATATCTAAAACGAAATTCCATGACTTTTTCTAGATCCTCTCCATTAATCCCAAAGGCAAAAAAGCCCCTGGCTTCAATTTTGCTTTAGTTTATAAACAAAGAATTGCTATATTTTAATCCATGCATTAGTTGAGGGCATGTTTCTCAGCCTTTGGTAAATTTAAGATGCAGGACTTCAACTCCCAGAATTCCTCAGCCAGCATAGCTGGCTGGGGAATTCTGGGAGTTGAAATCCATGCATCTTAAATTTGCCAAAATTGAGAAACACTGATCTAGATTGCTGGTTAAAACAGTAAAAATACAGCTCAAAATAAATTGTACCATACTGTTATGTATTTTCCCATTATTTGTAGTCTATGAAATTTTGTGTATTCAATTACTGATTAATGTATATATAAATATATTTGCATTTTACAGGTTGGTCTAGTTCTTCAAATCCACCATCTCTTAGTATTCAAAAACATATGATTACGATAGCAGCAAATGATACATTGCAGATTACTTGCAGGTAAGGAAGGAGGGTGATTATTGGTATCTAATGTATTGTCTTAATTTCTTCCCATGATGCATGACTATCTTGGGGATATGAATACCCCCCCACACAAAATAGTTACAAATGTACAAATGTACAATAGAACAAAGAATACAAATAAAGGATTTTATTATGCTCCAAATATTTCCAGATGTTTCTTGGCTCAAGCATTTATAGCTTTAACATTCAAAAGGACAAAAATCTTGTCTGATCTTTTTATAAATTTACAAGGATGAGAAATTCTATTTACGTTGACTTTGTTGATACTTTTAAAGAGGAAATGTCATTTATTTTATCATTCCCTATTGGCCCTTGTTACGTGTCACCAATGGAGGTCTATGGAGATTCTCAATCATCCTGGTCATGGCTGTCCCAATGATGCTTTTTCAGGAGGCAACTGGACTTTCTGACTTTTCTTTGAAGACGTTTCACTTCTCATCCAAGAAGCTTCTTCAGCTCTGACTGGATGGAGGGGAATGGAAGGATTTATACTCCTTGCAGACAGCTGGTCATTTGCATCTTTTTTAGAGAGTCACTGAGACCACTTGGAGGTTTATCTGTGTCATTGCAATCATCAGAGTAGTGCAAATGGGTGTGGATCCTTCTTGGATTTGTAGAAAGGATTATGTTGTAGACTGGAGACAGATGTCCATCAAGACAAGATTCAGCTGTCCATCTGCATTTAAAAGATAAATGCCACTCTTTTGAAGATAGCAAAGTCCACATTTTGGACAGGGAGGACCGCTGGTTTGAAAAAGGGATCAAAGAAGCCATCTGTATCAAAGTGGAACAGGCCTCTCTGAACAAAGTTGGAAGGATATGACATCATCTATCTCCGGTCCACAACACAATCCTTTCCACAGTTCCAAGAAGGCTCCATATCCATTTGCACTATTCAGGTGACCTTGATGATACAAATAAACCTCCAAGTGGCCTCAATGACTCTCTAAAAGAATGCAAATGACCAGCTGTCTGCAAGGAGTATAAATCCTTCCATTCCCCACCATCCAGCCAGAGCTGAAGAAGCTTCTTGGATGAGAAGTGAAATGTCTTCAAAGAAAAACAAGAAAGTCCAGTTGCCTCTTGAAAAAGCACCTTTAGGTCCCCAATAGATCTACCTGTATAAACACAGAAATAGAAGGTACAGAACAGATAATTTCAGGCAATTCTTTCAAACAATGAAAAAAAGGCTAAAGTGGATTTTTAATTCCTTGTGGCTGCACAGGTACAACTGTGTAATTTTCTTAGCAACATTGTAGAAGTACTCTGTTGTGGTCTTTTGAGATTTTTTTTTTCAATATCCAATAGAAATTCCCTGGCCATTTTTCATCCAGGAATGATGCTTTGATAATAGCAATAGCACTTAGACTTATAAATCGCTTTACAGTGTTTTACAGCCCTCTAAGTGGTTTACAGAGTCAGCCTATGGTCCCCAACAATCTTGGCCCCCATTTTACCAACCTCGGAAGGATGGAAGGCTAAGGAATCAACCTGGAGCCATTCAGAATTGAACTCCTGGAATGAGCAGTGAGTTAGCTTGCAGTAAGGCATTCTGGGTGTTGAAGTTCACATATCTGAAAGTTGGCCAAAGTTGAGAAACACCAGTCCACACCATGTATTTGAAGGAAAGGCAAAACCCTTAACAGAGCAATAGGTGGTTTTTTTTTCCTGTAGAAAACTACAATTTGGATAAAGAAATTAGGCTAAGGATTTGCTCACTGTTATTTGCTCAGGTTCTAAACAGTTCCTCCAGTTCTCCCTCCCTCGGGCATCCAATGGTTATGGCATTATCAAAGTGACAGCTCATTGCCAATGTAAGAAATTTGGTCCCTTATTTGCCAACCTCGTCCCCAATTTGTAACAATTTGCTGCCCAATTAGGGACTGGTCAATAGCTTGTGTTTAGCATAAGTGTTGTCAATATTGAATATCTCCATCTTGGCACCATATAAGTTTAGTTATCTGTGTTTACCATCTCTTCTTCGAGTGCTAGCCGTCTTCCCGCTGTGTACATCAAGGGAGGAGCCACACTTTTTATTTTTGGGATATTGTTTAGCACATCCTTTTATGTGGACTTCCTGTGTGTAAATCGTGCAAACATCGGCAGCCACATTTAAAGATACTAATGGTGCCTTCTATTTTTTTCATTAAAAACCCCAATCTCACGTGTGAGGAAGGGTGAAAAACCTGAAGAAGGTCATTGTTAGACCTTCCTCCCTTATTGAAGAGAATCATCAACTGGCAGCTGATCTCCTGTAGGCTTGTGAGGGGATCGCCATCATCTGCTGCTACTTTCCCCATCTGATATACACCCAAAGTAGCCTAATTCCCTAGATCTAGCTCCATCATTTTGTGTGGGCCTTCCACCTCTGGTGATCTTAGAAAAAGATGGGTGGGGACTTCCGGTTTGAGTTTCTTTAGCAACGGACTGAAACCTTGTCTCTGCGAGGCTTTGATCCATGCTCGCCACTGGAGCGCCCCGAGCTGGCTGGTTTCAGGACTAAGCCACCCCGTAGAGGTGGTGAAGAGTGGGGAGACTGCCAGCAGGGTTGAGGATAGCTGCATCTCTCCTCCCCAGCTGGTCATTAGTCCCTTTCCCGGTGGCGGTTGCAGCGGTGGTCAGAAATGGCCACCACAAAGAAGAACTCGACCGGAAAAGAATGTGCAGGAGGAAGATAAGAAGAGAAAGTTTTGGTTGACTGGGTCAAACAGCAAAAGCAACAAATAAGGTACCCTGGAATTGAAACTGTTAAAAAACAATAACATTATTCCCTAAGAAGATTTTTAAGCTGCGAAGGAGAGAGAAAAGGGAAAAGATTTGGTTTTCTCCTTTTCCTATACTGACAGCTAAGAGACTTAAGCAAGAAATTGGAAAAAAAATCCACTTTGACATCAATAGGCATTTAATGCTGAAAATAAAAAGTCAAAGGGATAATAAAGATTTCTGGATAATTAAAAGCTTTTGAAAACAGGAAAGGAGAGAGGAAGAATAAAAGGGCAGGATCTGGAAGGGAGGAGACTGCCTGGAATTAAAAAAGAACTTACAGCAAAATCTCAACAAGACTTCCAAAAGATACATTCTAACTGAAATATCGCAACAAAAACCCCAGGAAGAGAAAGTTGAAAAAGAAATAAGAAGATATAACTCGGGACTATCTGGATTACTTGATGATTTCTGGATTCTTGGTTATTGTTTTGAATGACTAAAATCAATCGGGTGGTTGTTTAAAACTTTTAAAAATGGCTCCACTTTTAGAAGAACTGAAAATGGAACTTAAAAAGTACAAAGAAGATGCACAAGAAGGGAGAGGTTCTTTTGGCTTCGTATTTCAGTTTTTAGAAATGGAGATTTGGAATTATGAGAAACAACAAGAAATGCCTGCAGAACAAGAAGATTGCGACAAAGAAGAAGCCATCTTTAATGAACAAGTAATCTTAGATGGGGGGGGGGGGAAGGAAAGGGGAGAAAGAGAATGGAAAGTTTAAGATTGGGAAAAACAACTCCAAAAAAAAATAGAGTGAAAAATAAGTATAAAATCAGAAAGCAACAGAAGAGGGAAATGCAGAAGAGAGAATTAGAACTAGAGAGACAAGGGAGTAAAAAGGGGAGGGAGAAGATGAGAGTGAAGAAAGAAAGGAAAAGAAGTTATAAAGGACAGAAGCAAAATATAGAGAAACAGGGTCTATTTAGAGATAATGGGTGAAAACTTAATGGAAAAAGGGATTCTGCAAAGGTACATAAGATAGTATGGTTATATTAGAAGCAGAAATAATTTTAGAAAATATGAAACAATGTATGATTAAAATGTCTGATAAAATAGCTATCGTAATTCAATGGAATGCTTGTCAATAAATAAATGTAACAAAAGGTATATTTAATGATTTATAAAACATGTGAAGAGAAATAAGGGAAAAATTAATTATGGAGATTATATGTGTTTTTAAGGAAGTATGATATTTAATTGAAAAGAAGTGTTAAAGATGTTATGGTTTTAATGATTATTAATGATAGAACTGAACTGGAATGGAATGAGGGTTTATAATTACATATATTTACAATCTTTCTTTTTTTAAAAAGAATATAGTGTGTATTATAAGAATGTGCCAAGCAGAATTCGATTGGAAGTTATGTATTATGTATTATATTGAAGGTCATAAACTTAAGGTATATATTGAAGTTTAAATAAGAGTTGAATGGATGTAATTAAAAGATATAACGGTGTCATACTCCAATTAGTAACTACAGGAGAAAATTTGTTTAATGAGAAAAGATAATATGAAATTGAAACAGAACAGACAAAAGTATAAATATAATGATTTGAATTGAGATGAGATAATCAAAATAAAATTGAGAAAATTAAAAGAGGGGAAAAACTATATAGAAAATGTAAAATAGTATAAGATATGGAATAGAATACAAAAAGGAGCATGAAATTGAGTTTTGTGTCTGTATAAAGAAGTTCAACCTGGGACCATGCTATTTTCAAAAAAGATGTTTTACTTGTATTTTGTGTGTGAAAACCCAAATAAAACTTTATTAAAAAAGAAAAGAAAAAGATGGGTGAGGCCCAGAGGTGTTATTCAGCCAGTTCTGACCAGTTCTGGAGAACCGATAGCGGAACTTTTGAGTAGTTCGGAGAATCGGCAAATGCCACCTCTGACTGGCCTTGCCCCCATCTATTTTTTGCCTCCCAGCTGATTGGCTGGGTCTTCTTTGGTTGCCCTGCACAGGAGAATGGAGCTGGAAAGCAGGTTAGTGGGGTGAGGAGAGAATGGGATTGTGCAGTAATCTTCCCCTGCCACGTCCACCAAGCCACGGCCACCAAGTCACGTCCACAAAAGCAGTAGTAAACACATTTGAATCCCACCACTGGTGAGGCCTATTCCATAGACAAAAGAGATTGGAAAAACACCAGGCCCAGACGGAGTGATTCCTTCTTACTTCAAAGCCTGTGCTGAACAATTGGGCCTCCATCTTCACAGGGATAAGGATAAAAACCAGCCCTTGGGGATGTGTTCTTTGCAGGAAGCAAAGAAGTTCTTTAGACTCATAGTCCTCGTTAAAGCCCTGCTTACTCCGGTTTATTTTTGAAACTTCTGTTGGTGGATATTTAATCAGTAATTAGTCTTGTGTTCTTGGCATCCTTCTGCAACCTTGAAAGGTCTTGCTTTTGATATCAGACAATTAGGTTTAAATATTTCTTGGCTGGGAATGCACTGAATTCCCAGCGTTGCATTGAAAAAGGTTTGCTTTTATACACAGTTTGCGTTTGTTTGATTTGAGCAAGGCTTGGGTCAGAATACTTTCAAAGAAAAACCAGAAAGTCCAGTTGCCTCTTGAAAAAGCACCTTTGGAAAAGCCATGAACTGGAGGACTGAGAATCTCCATAGGTGAATTTAGGGAAAATTACATCTAGTACCTGGGCAATTAACACAGTTCTCTCCATTGCTCTTCTCTCTCTATACCAATGACTTCATCTCTAAGGGTCCCCCTGTTAAATTACTGAAGAAATGAAACATCCAGGGGTGGGATTCTACCAGTTCAGCCCAGTTTGGGCAAACTGGAAGCTCCAAAACTGGGAGAGAACCACTTCGCTCCGACGATCAGCTGTTGAGCCTGCCCACCTGTCCTGGCTCCAGTCTGTGCTTTATTTCTGGGTTTTCCAGCTCATCTGATTCACGTGGCACAGCGGATTGCAAAGCACGCTGTCAACTAAAAAGCTACTCCTTTGGTCTTTTTAGCTGCCAGAAAAAGGGAATGGGGGGAAAACAGTGCATTCCTTAAGTGCCTAGAGAATCACCCTGGCAGCCCAAAGTTGTCGGAGCACAAGAATATTACTGGAGAGCATGATTGATGACTCTTGGGGAAGGATGAGTCCCATTGGAGAATACACATCCAGGGGGTGGGGGGGAAGACCAGGGTCAAGGGGGAAATGAATGATGTATTTCAGTATTGGCTGCATCCAGTTAACACCAACATGGCCACTTCTAATCAATCAATTTTCTTTTCTCTGAGATGCGGCTAGAGACTTATGATTTGAATGGGGATGGATTTGTTGGGGTCCTGACAGGCGCACTCACCGAACCAGTTGTTACACCGGTTGAATCCCACCCCTGGAAACACTCCTGTATTTAAGGCAACTGCCTTCTGATGGCTTTAACAATGTTGATACAGACTATGAATGGAGAATGCCATATAGCTCAGATATTCTTAAGTAGCTAATGGATTTCACTTCTTACTCCCCAGTGGTGAGAGGGCTTTGGATTGGCTTTTGCCAAATAACCAAACCGGCCTCGAAAACCGAGTCGCACTGACTGAGTGTGCCAGCGATACCTATTGTAAGATGCTCACCCTGACGGAAGTAATAAGCAACGACACCGGGTCCTACAAGTGTTTCTACCAAGACAACCACACCTCCTCAAGTGTTTATGTTTATGTACAAGGTAGGTGCATATTGGAATAGTGCACTTTTTTCTGCTTAATGGGAAAAATGGCTTAATGTTGTATAATGTGAACCACGTTGGATTAGAACCAAAAATTTCTCTGGTCTATCCTCTTGAAGCCACCATGCCAGCTAAATAGTAATCCACAAATGGGTGTGAGCACAACGGTGCCTTCCCACTTGGGTTCTCCAGCAACTCATACAAAGAGACAAGGAATCTTCAAAGTTCTGAAAATACCTAACTTTTATAACAAATCCCCACTGATGGGTTATCCTGAACCAATTGATCCAGTTTGGTTTTAGGAACTACACAAATTGGTGGGTCTTACAACCACCTTTACAAGCATTGTGCACAGGGGTGGGATTCTCCCAGTTCAGACCAATTTGGGCGAACCCCTTGTTCCAGCGATCAGCTGGCTCCTAACCAGTTCGCTATGGGCCCGCCCACCCCTACTTTTTCCTGTCCTTTATTTCCTGCTTTTAGAGCACAGCTGATTAGCGTGCCGTCCCTCAGCTGTTTTAGTCACAGGGGCTGCAGTTGAAGGGCTGAAAATGGGTTTTAAAAAAATATGGATTGCACGCGCAAAGCACGCATTCACCGAACCGGTTGTTATACCAGTTGAATTACACCCCTGATTGTGCACATTTACTTCTGGACATCATGAAGGAGAATGTGATGACCCAGGGTGGGATACAAAATAAACATAGTCACAAAAAACAGGTGAAGCCCCTTTTATTCCTTCACTTTGCTTCCAAGCTCCGAATATTCTTGACTGGAGCCAAAAAATTCCCACATGAGCAGTTACAAGAAGGAGGAAATGCTGTTTAAATTATAAAGAGTAAAAAAAAAAAAAACCAGGCAAGATAAGGGCTTGAAGACATCCACAGATATCAGAACACACACTGGGAAGGACGCCAAACTCAGAGAGGAAGAATAAACTAGAGATATTTCCACGCTTTGTTTCCAGCACTCACCCGTACGCATGTCCATCCTCTTATCCAGTTGTCACAGCTGCAGCCCATGAAAAGGATCAAGGCCCTCTCCTCCCCAGTAGACCAGGTCTCTCCCTTATCCTCTCCTCCCTGCATGGCCTAGGATGGAGAGGGGATGGGCCTGGATCCTCCTCTGACTGCCCAGCCGGCCTCTGCCCTTCCCCAGCCTCCTCCACAACCTCCAGAGCCGTACTTCCACTCCCTGTTGGCTGTTCCTCCTCTCCCTCCAGAGTCAGTCTCCACCAGGAGCATGACAGAGAATGCTCTTCTATTTCCTTATTTGTTTTAAAACAAGCTGGCAGGAATAGCCAATACCCCAGAAGATTGGCTCAAGATCCAGATGGATCTCGACAGACTTGAACATTGGGCCCTAGCTAACAAAATGAAATTCAGTGTTAAGAAAAGTAAGTAAGGTTTTACACTTAGGCAAGAAAAAAACACCACATGTACAGGTGCACATTAGGTGAAACGTGGCTCAATAGCAGTAACTGTGAGAGGGATCTTGGAGTCCTAATGGACAATCACTTCAATACCATGAGCCAGTAGTGTATGGCAGCAGCGAAAAAAAAGCCAATGCAAACCTAAGCTGCATTAATAGAGGGATAGAATCAAGCTCACATGAAGTATCAGTGCCACTTTATAAGGCCTTGGTAAGACCACATTTGGAATACTGCATCCAGTTTTGGTCAACATGATAGAAAAAAGATGTTGAGACTCTGGAAAGAGTGCAGAGAAGAGCAACAAAGATGATGAGGAGCCTGGAGGCTAAAACATATGAAGAACAGTTGCAGGAACTGGGCATGGCTAGTCTAGTGAAGAGAAGGAGCAGGGATGACATAATATCAGTGTTCTAATATTTGAGGGGCTGCTACAAAGGGGGAGATCAATCTAACAGATAACAGATAATCAGAGTTGGAAGGAACCTTGTAGGTCAGCTAGTCCCCCACCCAAGCAGGAGACCCTACATCATTTCTGACAAATGGCAGTCCAATCTCTCCTTGAAAGCCTCAAGTGATGGCACTCGCACAACTTCCAAAGGCAACTTCTGTTCCATTGGTTGATTGTTCTCACTGTCAGAAAGTTTCTCCTTATTTCCAGGTTGAATCTCTCCTTGTTCAGTTTCCATTCATTGTTCCTTGTCTGGCCTTCAGGCGCTTTAGAAAATAGCTTGACCGCTTCCTCTCTGTGGCAGCCCCTCAAATATTGGAAGACTGCTATCATGTCTCCCCTGGTCCTTCTCTTCACTAGACCAGCCATGCCCAGTTCCTGTAACCATCATATGTTTTAGTCTCCAATCCCTTAATCATCCTGGTTGCTCTTCTCTGCCCTCTTTCTAGAGTCTCAACATCTTTTTAATAGTGTGGGGACCAAAACTGGATGCAGTATTCTAGGTGTGGTCTTAATAAGGGTTTATAGAGTTGTATTAGTACCTCACTTGATCTTGATTTTATCCCTCTGTTAGTGCAATTTAGGATTGCATTGGCTTTTTTGACTGCTGCTGCACACATCTACTTTCCAAAGCACCTTAGGGCAGGACAAGAAACAATGGATGGTAACTAACCAAGGAAAGAAGCAACCTAGAACTAAGGAGGTATTTCCTAAAGTGAGAGCAATTAACCAGTGGAATGGCTTGCCTTTGGAAGTTGTGGAAGGCTTTTAAGGAGACTGGACAGCCACTTGTCTTGAATGATGTAGGGTCTTCTGCTTGAGCAGGGGGTTGGACTAGATGACCTACAAGATCCCATCCAACTCTGATGATGTTCTATTTGTCTCGAATCTTCTTTCAGATTTATTGGATTCCACTAATATGAGAGAAAGCAAAATATAATCTGATGTATTTTTTCAGTGTTTTTCTTCATCCCTTTCCAAACTTCTTTATCCCTTTCCTAAGCCCCAAATATTTCAATTATTCCCAAAGTAGGAAGCTTTTTTCCCCCTGCACATTCTTATGTTTTGGAATATACCTTTTTTTGTTGAAAGGAAGCAATCAGAATTGGCACACTGTGTTCTAAATGAAGTGGAATTATGGATTATTCTTGGCCGCTCTACTTTCACTCTCCCTCCCCCCCCCCCCAATTATCCTGAATTCACAAGAAAGTGAATTAAAAGACCCATGGATTTTTTTTTGTTTACATCTGTTACCTTTTAAGGAAAAAGAAACTTTGCTCCAGTTGCTTTTATTTTTCCAATACTCAGCACTACAGGAATGCAGAACAGTCATAGTTTTGCCAGAAACTATGATGGTGCAAAAACGTGTCTAATGTCTGGCATTAGATCTGTAGTCAATTGCCAGGCCATTTGGAATTCTTGCTGGCTTGGTGTTGTATTGCTAAAACAAGTGATGAATGTTTCAATGGAACTAGAGAAGTGCTGGGTAGTATAATAGAAATAGCAAGAGCACTTAGACTTCTAGACTGCTTCTCAGTGCTTCACAGCACTCCCTGAGCGGTTTTCAACATCAGCATTTTGCCCTTGACAATCTGGGTCCTCCTTTTACTGACCTCATAAAGATGGAAGGCTGAGTCAACTTTGAGTCCCATCAGGATCGAATTCAAGATTGTGGGCAGAGTCAGCCTGCAATATTTCATTCTAACCACTAGTTGGCTAGCTGTCAGGATTCCGGCAGTTACTCCAATGAGTCTCAAAGCCAAACTTCCAAAACTTCAAAAGGATGTATTGGGAGTTAATATGTCCGGCACTGCCTGGGTGTAGCCAACTCTGAGGCCCATCATTCATTGTCACCCTTGACTCTGGTTCCCCCCCCCCCCGGATGAATCGTAATTCATATTCTCCAATGGGACACCTCCATAGCCAAGAGTCATCAATCATGCTCTCCAGTTAGAATTTTGCATGGCAGAAACTTCGGTCACCTAGTTACTATCTTTGAAAACATTTATGGAATGCACTTTCAGTTTCCAAGCTGCAGCACTGCTCTTTCAAATCCCATTTCCCCCCTCCCTTTCTGTTGGCAACTCTAAAAAGACCATAGAAATATTGTATGAGAGTGGTGGCTAATCTTTTTGGGCTCCTGTGCTAAAAATTAGTGTGCATGCATTCGCATGCCAGCACCCAGAATGCAATGCGCCCCCCACCCCCTTACCTGCACTGTGCCTCACAGCTGATTTTTCAGCTGGTTTGAGGCCTTTTTCGGCCTCACAGAGGCTTGGAAAAAGCCTTTGCAAGGCTTTTCAGGACGAATAATATGCCCGTTTCATCACTTCTGGTATTACAGGAAGTGACGAAACAGACCTATTCGTCCTGAAAAGCCTTGCAGAGTCTTTTTCCAAGCCTCTGGGAGGCCAAAAAAGGCCTCAAACCAGCAAAAAAACGATCAGCTGTGAGGCACACGCATACGCAGTGAGGTAAGTTTGCCTGTGGCTTGAGTGCCGGCACAAATGGCTCTGCGTACCACTTGTGGCCTGCATGTCATAGGTTTGCCATCATGGTTGTATGAGTTGACACACTGTGCCACCAGGGCTATAAAACAGTGCACCCTAAAACTACAGCCAGCATTCTTCTGTCACATTTTCTTTCTTGTTTGGCTAATCTGTGGGTTTGGGGGAGCTGCCCCAATTCACAATCCAGCCCCTGATGACTGTTCAGTCTACTATAAATTCAGTTGGGATGGACTCCCAACTCCTAGGATAGACTGCTGCGAATGAATTGCTTTAAATAAGAGATTCGTGCAAGTTCAATGATATTTAGAATGTTCTCTCTTCTTCAGATTACAGATCTCCATTTGTGATGTCAGCCAGTGAGCCTGGAGCTGTATATATAACCGGAAACAAAACTGTAGTGGTTCCATGTCTCGGATCCTCATCAAACCTGAACGTGTCACTCCATTCGGTAAGGCCAATGATCGTAATCCATTTTGCCAGTGATTCTGGCTCTTTTTTATGTTTACGTTGACATCACACATTTCACATTTGAGGCAGAAGGCTGTCAAGGCTCCAACTAACAAACTCCAAACCAATAACCTCCGAGACAGGCATTTTCTCCAAGTCCCATTTTATCTGAGTTGTCGTATTGGCACATCTGGGAAAACCCGAATCTGAGAGTTCCAGCTTTAGAAATTCAAAGATCCAATCCCTGCACCTATCAGTCCATCCCATGGTCCAATCCAATGTCATCCCAACTGGAGACACTCCTCTAGAACAGGGGTCGCCAACCTTTTGGACCTCAGGGACCACCAAACTCAAAATTTTAAATCCTGCAGACCAGAGAACCCTGGGAAAATCCCCCCAAAAATCTGCAGGAAAATTCTCCACCCCATTTTTCTACCAGTCGATCATTCTTTATTTGGAATCGCAGGATACCATCTCCAGCTCCATTCTCAGGGGGAGAGAAAGGCAGGGAGAGAGAGGGGGGGAGACAGAGAGAGAGAGAGACAGACAGACAGACAGACTTTTGGCTTCATGCAAGGAAAGCAGCAGAAGCAGCAGAAGTCTTTCTTTCTCTCCCCCAAACTCCGCCAGAAATGAGTCTTTGCTGGGGCAGCCTCTTGGAGCAGGAGGCCTTGCAGGGTCCCAAAGACTCATTTCTGGTGGAGTTTGGGGGAGACAAAGGAAGACTTTTGCTGCTTTCCTTGCATGCAGCCAAAAGCAGAAGAAGAAAGAAGCAGAAAGAAGCAGCCCGGTGGCCAGGCCAGGTGCATGGGGTGAGTTCCCCACCTCTGCCCTTTCCTCCCTCCCCTCACTACCTTGTGTTGTTTGCAATGCAAGCGATGCAATCCTTGTGTTCCCGTGGGCCATGTGGGCGGCGCAGCCTTGTGTTCCTGCGCAGCCTGGATTAATTGCTTTGGGGGGTGCTTTAGGGGTGACATTTCTCTGCGGACCACCAAAATTTTCTCACAGACCACCAGTGGTCCCTGGCCCACGGGTTGGTGACCACTGCTCTAGAAACTCCTCTCCAGGTACAGGGTAATTTGACCTTGACTTCTAAGAAAAAATGTTGAGTCTAATCTTCCAAGTCTCTATGAAATCCTCCTCTCCCAAATTCCCAGGCACTCAATGTGGCAGCCTCGAAGCTCCTAAGTGAAATATGGCTCCCAAGGCTGAGAATAGCTCTGTGTAAAAAAAATGTAAATAGAAAGGAGGAATTAGGTTGTGAAAGATACTTCCATAATTGACTAGATTCATGGCACATAACCTGTAGCCCAATCTTAGATCTCTGCTCCCTCAAAAGTTTTGATGTGACTTTCAAAACCCTCTCCCCCAAATGATGAAGTGTTTGTAAATTTAAATTTGGCGGAACAGAAACGTAATTAAATG